CTTCACATATAAATACACAGAGACAGAATGACAGAGTATATATTCTGTGCAATTTGAACCAAACAAAGGCAAAATTTGATTTTTTCTCGTTTAATTCAACAAGCGTACAAAAAGACAACCAAGAAACTATATAAGAATAAAGGATTTGATTCACCTAGAATATTACCTAAAAGATGAATGCATGCAATGCAAAGCATCTAAACATATAATGCAATATAAAATGATCAAAAGCGAGAGTGCGAAACAGAATACATAGTAGGGGACTTCAATACACAACTATCAACAAAAGACTGATGATCACAACAGAAAATAAGAATGGAAATATGCTTACAATACCCTTTAGATCAAATGGGCCAGATATGCATGGAATATTCCATTGAAAACCAATGGAATCGCACTTCTCTCAGGAACTCAGGGGACATTATGCAGGATAGATCACATAACAGGGCACAGTGAAATCCTCAGAAAATACAAACACTTGAAACAACTATTAAATATTGTGATTACACTCAAATAAAGCTAGAAATGAATGACAGGATAAATTTCAGATAATTCACATAGCTGTAAGATCTAAAGGATATGATTCTTACCAATCAATGGTCCATAAACAATAATTAAAGGAAAAATCCAAAAGAAACATAAGACAAATTAAAATATAAGCATAACACACCAAACCTGATGGGAAATAGCAGTTGTCAGATGACAGTTTGTATATATAAATACCTACATCAAAAATAAGAATTATGGCAAGGCATGGTGGTGCATGCTTGGAATCCTAGCACTTGGGAGGCTAAAGCAGGAGAATCACCATGAGTTCAAGGGTAACCTGGGCTCCATGGTGAGTTTCAGGATAGTCTGAACTGTATAGTGAGAACTTGTATGAAAGCAACAAAAAAAGAGAGAGAGAGAGAGAAGGAAAAGGGAAAGGGAGGAGAGAAAGAAGAAGAAGAAAGATAAGCAGGAAGAAGAGTTAGAAAAGGAAAGAAACATCTCAAAATTTTTAAAGCATAAACCATTCTCCTGAAGAATAAACCAGCCTCAGAATTAACAGAAGCAAGCAAACAATAAAGATCAAAAGTACACCGAAATGAAATTGAGACTACAGAAATATTTTTACTTTTAGAAAGTGATGTTTTAACAGTCAAAACTCACAAATATATAGCTAGACTAAAAGAAAGACTAAAAGATAGTTTGAAAACAAGGAGGAAACATCACTACTGATAACAAAGACATACAAAAGTTTCTAAATACATGCTATGAAGAGTCCTATGAAGATTAATCAGATAACCTAGGAGAAATGGATAAACTTCTAGACATATTCAATCCATTAGAACTGAAATTTGAAGAAATAAAATATTTTAAATGACCATTAATAAGGAGATTGCACCTAACCGTTAGGAGATTGAATCACTAAAAAAATGACCAACAAAAAACAACCCATGAAGGGAGAAAGATGGTGAGGGGAAATCTGGCAGTGTATCACAGGCATTCCAGAACCTGGACTCTGTATCCTGAAAAACATCAGCTTAACAAAGAAAAAAAAGCACAGGAAATTAAGAAAAGAGCCAACAGAAAAACAGAATCACAGGCAAACTGGAGAAGACAATATAGGGAAAAGAAGAATCTAACCCTGGCACATAGGGGAGGTGATCTGTCTCCACAAACTAAGAAAAGCCCAGAGAGGGTCAGCAGTCTCAGGGAGAAACAATGGTGTGGGCCAGCAGTACAGGCCCAAGAAAAGCCCAAGCTGACTTAAACTGCAAAAGCAATGTGGGTTATTCCTCGTGAAGTAGTTCCTTATGCATGACGGGCCACAGCTGGAAAAGAAATCCAGTGCAGCACCAGCCAGAGCTGAATTAACCAGGAGCCACCTGGGGAGGGGGACTAATGCTTTAAGACTGAGCTACTCCAGCAACCACACTTCAGGTTTGTGAGGTCACCCTACCACAGTGACTAGTGGGTGTCGGCCATTGGAGGCATCAGCAGGGAGGGCACAGGCCACATAAAGATGCCCTGAAAAGTTTGAGCAGCAGTTAGCTCAGGCCAGTAAGGACATGGGCCTCTGGTGAGAAGGCAGGAACTTTCATTCATTTTCAGAGTGTGCTGGGTCAGAAAGTGCTGACATTAAATCCAATAGATGACTTGCTCCTCCCACCCCACTCCTTGCATCCAGGGAAGAACTAAGTGGAAGCTTGGCTTTCCCCATCAGCCAACATAATCAAGGATACACCTCAGCTTAGACCTGTGCCACAGTCAGGTGAGCATGCATGGAGGGGCTCTGAAGCGGGGTGTGAAGGCACAACACAAACCTGCAATCCATAAAGCTAGGCAGGGAAAGCAGTGAGTTGGGGTGCAAGAGGTGCACAAAAACTGGGAGCAGCTGGAGTGAGTACAGCCCTAAGGGCAGACGCTATTGACTGATCACACCCATTGGAAAGGCAAAGCAGGATTCCGCCTTCACACATGAAAACCTGAAAAACTACTTTGAAGATAATGATACACGGTGCATTAATTATTGTTACTCTCATTACTGTGTTATAAAATTTTATTTTATTTTTTCATAAAAGACAAAAATGTGAATGTGGAAAACAATGGGACTTAGCAGGAAGTGAATACCCCTCCCTCCATTCTGTGGGCTCCAAATACTGCAGAGCCTGAGACTGGACCTTTCATCAAATAAATGGAGGAATCTTTTTAAATTGCTAATTTCCTTTATTGTTTTTGGTAAGGTTGGGCACATATTTTCTCTTTTCTTCTCTTTTTCCTTTCCTTTGCCCTCTGCTTCCTTTTTTTTCCCCTTGCCTGTTCTTTGCTGTTTCTTTTATCTAATTTATTAATCATCTTTTCATGCCATCTTTCTCCTTTCTCTCTTCTTTATCCTTTCCTTTATTAATCAGATTTTACTTCTTTTATTTTTCCCTTCTCCAAACCCTTCATTTTTATTAGTACTATTACTTAGCTGTATAAATTTTTAAATATTTACTTGATTATATGCTATTATTGTTCAATCCTTTTCTATTATTAATTGTTGTATAGTTGTTGCACATAGGAGGTATTTGCTTATGTCAATGTTTATATTATATTGCATTTATATTATTATTACAGATCTCTTTTTGGTTGTTAAAGGTGGTACAATGATAGTTTTATTGGTTTTCACGGTATACCAGTATCCAGTTTGCTTTCCATCTATTATTTTTGCTAATTTTGTTGCTTTTGATAGTGGTGGTATAATGGTTGCTACTATCTGGTTTCGCTATATGCAAATATAAGCTTTATCTTTGTATCATCACATTACTATAGTTCACGCCCCCCCCCCAAAGGAAGAAGGTGGGCAGGCTACAGAATACAGGCACAGACTCTTGAATCCCTAGGAGTGCATCACTGGAAAGCAGACTGCAACAAAAAAGATCTCCATATTAGCAACAAAGTCTTTCTACTTTAACTGGTCCTGAACAAAGGGGGAAAAAACATGAGATAACAAAGCAACAAAATGTTCCCAAACTCCCAACCTGCCTAAAGATGAAACATGGCATATCAATGGGAGGAAATCAAAAGACAAACAGTTGAAGTACACAAAACGTAAAAAAGTAAAACACAGAAGACATATTTGAGCTTAGCAAGCTAAAATATGATATAATTAGCTAGATCATAGATTTAGTAAAGGGTAAGTGAGCACACACAAGATATTAATATAAAGCTAGCTGATCTAAACAAAAACAGACAAAATATGTATGATCAGTTCAGCAAAGTGTTAAAGTTCATTAAAATTTTCCAAACACAATTTCAAGAGATAGAAAAATTTTACCAAAAATACAGGCAAAATAAGTAACCAAAAAAAGTGGTATCCACATTTGTGGAACTGAAAATTATAAAACATAATATGGAGAAATTAGTTCTATATGTCAGGATTGAAAAGGTCTAAACAAGTCAAAAGCTAAAAATTCTTCAATAAAAATTGAACGGATTGGAATCTACCAAAGTTAAAACCTTTATGACAAAAGATAAATAATAACCCTAAAGGACTGCATCACTCCTAACAATGCTATATTGATATTCCTAGTACTAATGGAAACCATAGCAATTAGCTACAAAAATAAAACTCCATATTAAAAGTATTAACAAATGTTAACTATCAAATAGGCAAAAGAGGAAATGTAAAAAATTCACATGCATGAGGAAATAGGAAGTGAACACTGAAGCAGTCACAGACAATATTTTTGCTCCACAAATTAGAATAAAAAGTTGATAATATAAGGGGCCACAGAGGGACAAAAAAGCAACACCAAGTACTGGTCACACTGGGGTGCCACTCAACGTTCTAAAAGAAGTTTCCCAAATTTCTTCAAATGTAACAGGACACACAACATGTGACCCAACACCCCTAGTTTTAGGACAACAGCCAGGAAGACAACACCAAGAATATGGAAACATACAAATATAAAAAACATTCTTGAGATTGATTACTATACTCTTGTTCATAAAAACAAAACTGACAGAGATTAAAAACTACATTTTTGGTTGGTCCAAAACATAATTTCTGTCTTTATAAAGAGCACAATGCAACTGCTAAAGGTACACAGCAAATCTTACAAGTATTGGTCTCTGTGATATCTAATACCAAGTGAATTAAAATGGAAAGAACATCATGCACATTTTATCATTGGTTTTTATGGAATAAAGTCAATGTGAAACTTGCATTACTACATGCATACATATAAAATAATTTCAACAAATTGAGAGAAAGTCATAAAAAAGTGCTATGAGTACTTTGCAACAGGAGATAGCACAGGAGAAGTAAAAAGACATGTTTCAAATCTTAATGTCTTTTCCATAAAGGTGATTAGAAGTGTAGCTTGATTATGAAATGTACTGATGTCTTTGTTGTGCACACACCTATCACCAAGGATAGCTTCATAGTTTGCTTAACCACAAATGGTGAATGGGTCTGAATAATTCATGAAGGAAGAATTGTGAAATATAAATCATAAATTTAGTAAGGAATATTTTATTTGCAGTACAAAGCCAGGTTATCCTTAACATGCCAAAGGAGAGAGAACATACCCTGGGCAAGAGTTTTTCCTCACAACAGTTGATTACACCAACAAAGACCATGTTGGGCATCACAGGTCCGGGAAACCAAAGTCGGTGAGAACAACAAATGTGTGGGTTGGCTGAAGAGATCACCCGCTGTCACAGCTATCTGGAGCTTTTCAGACACAAGATTGAAGGCTTCCTTTTAAAAAAGGTGAGGCAAAGTAAGCCATCGCCCAAGTGAAAAATGTAGTTCATAGTCTTCTTGAAATTCATGGGTCTGAGTAGCCAGAGAGAAATCTGGGAACACAAGTGACAGGAGCATCACTTTCTTCAAAATAAAGACAAATGTTCCTCTTGCAAAGACCACAAATGGAAATGAAAAATATTTGGCAACACTTACAACACCCATATCAAAAGAACCCAGAAACATCCTATTAAAAGAACTCTTCTAGGTGTTCTACTAATTTCTTATCATGAACCAAGCTTCAGCAGTTAGAAAAAAGGTCAAAACCACCTTTGAATGGACCAGTTAGTTTAAAAAACATTTCTTCCTTGGTTTTCCATTTGCTATCAGCAAAAATCCTGCATTCCTGGTCTAATTCCTCCAGAGTGGAAGAAGTAAAATAAGTCTTTACTGTGAAGTTCAGTGACTGTCCGTGTTGCCAACTGGTCTCTGGCATCACCACAACCACCTCGTGTCCTGTCTGGACGAGTTTCTCCACCACCAAGTGCAGGGTGAACCTGTGGCTCCCATCGATGGGCACCACCAGCAGCCTGCCTGCCTGGGCAAGGCCAGATGCCAGCAGCAGACACAGGCACACAGGGAGGGGGGCAGGCGAACATGCGGGAGCTATGGGGACTGCAGCTGAGAGCCACCCAGCTGCTCACGCTGTCAGCTGGTGTTAAATACAGAAGTAATATAGACCCAAAATCTGTCCTCAGTGGAGTGCATGAATTCACGCAAAACTACATAACCTTTGTACATTGCTATATTTATTCATAATGATTAATGAGCACTATTGCAAGCATATCTCTTGGTGTGTTTCTAGCCAAAGGCAGTTTACGATTTTTGCCTTTGGAAGATTCCTATTTTGTCCTGAAATGTGACTTTAGAAAAAAGCTTCTGAGCCATCAATTTGAACTTGGAAAACCCATATTAGACTAAATTTCTATTCCTAGCAGGAAAGTGAAGTTTGGGCCTTCTCATCACACTACAAAGATTCCATGCTTACAAAGAAATTTTCAACCTAGCTCTGGGAGTACCTGACCTCCTCACTGTTATGGAACAATGGCTCCTGAGTAACCCTGCCAAGGATAGACATTATTGTTTGTCTTACTTTACAAGGCTTCATCCTTCCTTTTCCCACCATCTGAGACTGATATGCTGAAACTTGACGGATAGGTCACTGCTCTCAACTACACCTGTGCTATACAGACAGAATGAAATTCAGTTAGAAGTGTAGGGAAAGTGCTCGCTATAAGCCTGCCAATCATCTTCCATCCCATTCCTATCACTTCAGACAGCCGGTATTCACTGGAGCTGATGGGACTTAGAAGGGAGAGAACAGAGGCCCCCATCAACTGTCCTGGTACTTCTGTGATGCTTCCGCTGTGCATACTACTGTACTTACTCGCAGGGAACACAAGCAAGAACAGTACTGCTAGATCACACAGAGTCTGGTTGAAACAAAGAAATGAGGCCCTTATAATAATGATCACCATGGGAACCTTGACAATAACTCAGGGTTGTTTCCAACTGTGGCATCTGCTCACAGAGACCACCCAAACTCATAGAACAGCTACATAGCTGGGCTGCTTGCCACTAGCAGCAGATCAGGAATTCAAACTAGCTTTGTCCCTAGACTGTCATTTTCCATGCACAGGGTCAAGGTCCAGCAAGTAAACCCACTCAGACAGGAACATTTCCACCTCAGATGTCAGAGAACCCAAGGAAACACAGTGGCTTCACACAGCAAGTCCATCCAACACTTGGCAAAATGCAAGGCCAATGACCACACTCATGCACAGACTTCAACTTTGGAACATTTCGGAAAAACACAAGCTAAACATTCTTAATTTGGGTGGATTAAACCCCTGCCAATCAGTGAAATTCACCCTTGGATGAATCTGAAAAGGAGGCATTCCAGAATTGTGCATGTCTAAGGTATACAGAGGCCCCTAGGTCCTCCTTTTCCCAAGAAAAGACTTCATACCAGCAGAGTTCATTCTACAGCTTTGCCAACTGCAGATCCCAAGGAGCAGAGGTGCCTGACCAGGTTACACAGCTAGTAATCAGCCTCACCAGAAGCTACTGACACACTGAGCTAGAGGCTCCACCTGCTAGGTGACTTACACAGTTATTTCACCAGAAAGTTGAGCCCAGTTACCACAGCTGCCACACCTGACACTAGAGAATAAACAGTGGCCTAATCACCAGAGAGCTCACAAGAATCCCTTCCTGCCTAGGGTGGTGATGAGCTTGCCCTTCTGAATTACAGTGCAGGGATCCAACTGAACCTCACAGTAGAGATCCTGAGTGGTAACTGCCATGACACCCCCTGAGTAACCCTGGACCATGTTCTCTGCATAGTTCCCAGAAAACTACAGTAACGTACGTTCATCTCTCTCACAGAATGCAGCAAATCATCCAGAGAATTATATATCATAACCAAGATAGATTCATCTCAGGGATGCAGGGATGGTTCAATACATGTAAATCAATAAATGTAACAAACCATATTAACAGAGCCAAGGACAAAAACCATATGATCATCTCAATAGATGCAGGAAAGGTTTTGACAAAATTCAGCACACATTCATGATAAAAAAAAAAACCTACTAAAAGTTGGAATACATGACCTTTATCACAATCTGATAAAAAGCTATCTATGACAAACCTACAGCCAAAATCATACAAAACAGACAAAAAGAACAAAGTATTCCCTCTCCTGAATCAGGCTCCACCAGATCATCTGGAGGAGATTACTCAGCAAGAGGACAAAGCACACCCTCCTGTGAACCAGCCAATGTGTGGGCTGGGAAACCAGAAGAGCACATACCCTCCCAAACCCACCACCACCTCCTGTAAGCAACTGCCTGATTCAGAAGACTCAGGTAAGACAGCAACAGAGGTGAAAGGAACAGCTTTATCCGTAAGTTTGATTGACTTTGCAGGCCTGGGGCTGGCGGTCTGGGCATTTTCCTGAAGGATGGCAACGTGCACTGCAGCAACTGAGGAGGGATTCCTTCTGAAACCCAAAATTTTGTTTCATTTTCCTGTTTTATTTCATTTCTGTTTCTGGTAACCTGAAAAACTACTTTGAAGATAACAATATGCAGTATAACAACGATTGTTAAATTACTATCATCTTGTCTTGAAAACCTGTATAGCTATTGTTGTTTTGTTGTTGTTGTTGCTGTCATTTTGCTTTTGTCATTGTTTCTGAAGGTTTTTTTCATCTTGATTTTTCTGGGGGGTTTTTTGCTTCTCTTTAAAATAAAAAAGTGTACAGTGGATACTGTGACTTGGGAAGAAACTGTTCAAGGGAAGGGACAAACTGTGATAAGGGAGAGGAAGAATGGATAAAGGGAAAGAATATACATATATACAGGATAGTTAAGGGAGCTATACAGCTAGCTTCTGTATATTGTGCTATAGCAATCTCTGTGCACCCAGGGTTATAGTAGTACAATTTTTAATAGCTAAATCTTGGAAACAACCCAAATGCCCATCAACCACAGGATGGCTAAAAAAAAATGTGGTACTTTTATACAATGGAATATTACTCAGCTATAAAGGATAATCTTGAGGCTTTTATAGGTAAATGGCAGCAGCTTGAGACCATACTCATAAGTGAAATAAATCAAACTCACATTTGTAAATATCATATTGTCTCCCTACATCTCCAATGACATACAAGAAAGCAAAATATGACAACACCTTAATGTGATCATTCAACATGGGATTTATCCCTGAGAGACAAAGATGATTCAACATATACAAGTCATTGAATATGATCACATTAATAGTATGAAGAATAATAACAAATGATCATCTCATTAGATTTAGAAAAGTTACTTTACTTAATTCAGTACTTTTTATGATTAAAAATAACCTATCACCAAATTAGGTATAGAAAGATTGTACATCATCACAGTAAAGGCCACATGAGAAGCCCACAGTCAACATTATACTTAACAGTGAAAACTGAAATCTTTTCTCTAAGATCTCAAATACAATCAGGATAATCTCTCTTGGCACATCAGTTCAACTCTGTACTGATAGGCTTTTCTAAATCAACTAGATAAGAAAAAGAAATAAAAGACATTCAAATAGAAAAGAAAGACATGAAATTGTCACTTCTGATAGAATAATATTCTATATAGAAAACCCAACAGACTCCACTAAAAAACTCAGAGAACTAATGGATGAACACAATAAAATAGGGAGATATAAAATCAATACCCAAATACCCATGGCATTCCTTCACACAGGTTACCTGTAAAATTAAATTAACAATTCTATTTAAAATTGCTGCGAAAAAACCACACGGGATGGTGCACTCCTGTAATCCTGGCACATGAGAGGGTGAGACAAAAGGTCCTCGCAGCCTAGGGTACAAAGCCAGCCCAAGGCCAGCCTGAACTGCATAGCAAGATTCTGTCTCAAAAAGACAAAAAAATTGCTACAAAAAGCACATAGGAATAAATTTAACCAAAGTGATAAAAACCTATACACTGATAAATAAAATGTTAAGAAAATTTTAAAATGGACAGATTCTAAACTTAGTGGGTTGAAACAATTAATAATTTTTAAATATCCCCAATGCCCAAAGCAATTTACAGATTCAAAGCAATGTCCATCAAAATACCAATGACAGGGGCTCGGGATTTAGCTCAGCAGCATAAAGGCTTGCCCTGCAGGTGCCAGGCCATGAGTTCAATGCCTGATACCAAAAAAAAACATACCAATGACATTCGTCACTAAAATGAAAAAAACCTAATATATTATATGCCCAGAAAAGACCCCATTGGCTAATCATATATATACACACACATAAACCAATCCTGTTGTGTCACATTTCCTGATTTTGAAATATGCCACAAACCTCTAGTAAATAAAACAACATAGTACTGGTAAAAACTAGACTTGTCAGCCAATGGAAGAGAACCTCTAAGGCCAGAAACAAACCCATGCATCTAGCCAACTGATTTTCAGCATATATGCCAAGAATACCCAACGGGGAAACAGTCTCTTCAGTAAATGTTGTACAGAAACTAGATATTCACAGGCAGAA